AGTGTTTAGCCTTATTTCACGTTCTTATTAGTGGGGGTTGCCTGGATTTGAGTGTTTAGTCTTATTTCACGTTCTTATTAGTGGGGGTTGCCTGGATTTGAGTGTTTAGCCTTATTTCACGTTCTTATTAGTGGGGGGTGCCAGGATTTGAGTGTTTATCTTATTTCACGTTCTTATTAGTGGGGGTTGCCTGGATTTGAGTGTTTATCTTATTTCACGTTCTTCTTATTAGTGGGGTAGTAGTTATAGCGAGATATAGTAATGGATTTGGAGAGATTTCCGACTGTTCTCAAAAACTAAATATTCGAAGCATTTCTCTAGCCACGAGCTTCTAAAACAATCTTCTTTCTCAATACGTCTTGTACCTCACCTGAGAACGACTAGCTCAGACGTGGCTTTAATCCGAGTTGACAAGCTATCAACTGCGGCGGGTATTTATAAAATAAGGAGAGAAGAAACCAGGCCATCCACAGCTGCGGCTCAAGAACTGATGTCTTCCCAGTAGCTGATTCACGTCACCAAAAATAGCCTCACAGGAGAACGTAGCCAGTCCTTTCAGTAAAAAAAAAGTTCCTTTTACCAACGCCAGGGTTCCAAGAACCCCGCGTGAGTCTTTAACAGCGTGAATCTCGAACAAGTGGTATGTTCAAGCTGGACCTGCATCGTCCTTTCAGCTAACAACAGGAGAGTTTTATCCACTTACAACAGTATTATAAATCATGGAGTGTCATCTACCGAGAAAGGTAACGGTGGTGATCCGGACCAATCCGTGTAAGGTAGGCTTGCTTTGTGTACAAGTGTTTTATGTTTTAATAGATTTAATCACGAGGATGGTAAGGGAATAACATAAGACCAATCCGTGTAAGGTAGGCTTGCTTTGTGTACAAGTGTTTTATGTAATAACAGAAGACCATTACGTGTAAGGTAGGCTTGCTTTGTGTACAAGTGTTTTATGTTCTAATAGATTTAATCACGAGGATGGTAAGGGAATAACAGAAGACCAATCCGTGTAAGGTAGGCTTGCTTTGTGTACAAGTGTTTTATGTAATAACAGAAGACCATTACGTGTAAGGCAGGCTTGTTGTACACCTGTTTATGTTCCCGAACTTGGACGGTAACGTGGTGCACGTGTGAGGATAATAAAGCCTAAAAAAAGCACAAGTACCTGTCTGAAATATTGGGAATATCAACCCACTAAACTACTCTAACGTATTAATTCAACCCGTAGGAAGGGGGGCGTCTATGATTTTCTAGTTGGATAAGATTTGGCACGATTTCCATCCTCCTCGTGTTACGTTGACACCAAACAGATTGGTGTGATACTTCCACGTGCTCAACAACCTGCTTGCCCTCTAAGAGCTGATCCCCCCCCCCCCAAAAGAAAGTTTTTACATTCACTATTTCGACACGAGTGAAGCGAGAGCATCGTTCAGCAGGTGCAACCTTGTTTTAATAAGCACGTGACCGTTATGAACGATGTGTGTCCAAGAGCAGCTGGAGTCTCGAGCTTTCACGGTGAAAATACCGAAAGCCGGTACACCCCCGAACGCCCGCGCCATCTGTCGAGAAGGCTAGTAAGTGTTTATAACGTTCAGTCAGTTGTCCTTCCCTTGTCGACACTTAAATAATTTTCCACGCCATAAGAACAATAATGTCTGGAACTTGAATTAACAAGACAAATGTTTATCGTGTTTTCCTATGACTCCGATAAAACAAAGAAGAACATAAAACCAAATGTTAACATAGATCATATAAAAAACAAACATGCGTAGTGATGGAAGTAACAGTGGGATACGTTTTAAAATGTTCGTCGTCAACGTGTCACCTAGGAGATAACACTTTTGTTACCAAATATTTCATCATTATTCTGATAAAAAAGTTTAAAACTGAAACGTACACTTGTTGTGATTACACGACGTTTGGACTTTGTGACCCAGCTTAGAATGTATGCGATATCATTAGTTTAACCGTAGGGTGTTGCTGATTGGCTGCCTTCCCTCTGGTCAGTAGTAGTTTCAAAATTTGAGGTGGCAGCAGATAGCCTTGCTACAAATAGAAAATACGCACGTTTATTTCTCTGTTTGACTGATGTTTGTTACAGAAAGAATCACGTGCTTCACCACTTGCCTTTTCTCAGGAGAACTTACAGTATCTGCGGGTTCGAATCCGGACGGGGGGGTTATAATGTGATGGCTAATCCAACTAGAGATTAATGGTAATCCCGATGTAATGGAAATATTACAGGTTAATGGTAATCTCGATGTAATGGAAATATTACAGGTTAATGGTAATCCCGATGTAATGGAAATATTACAGGTTAATGGTAATCCCGATGTAATGGAAATACTAGAGATTAATGGTAATCCCGAGGTAATGGAAGTATTACAGATTAAAGGTAATCCCGAGGTAATGGAAATATTACAGATTAATGGTAATCCCGAGGTAATGGAAATATTACAGATTAATGGTAATCCCGAGGTAATGGAAATATTACAGGTTAAT